AACTTTGCTTCAAGGGGCAGAGTGAGGCATAAAATTTCTGCCAACAAAAATTGGTTATATTTTTCTGTAAAGCTGAGATGTAACTGGGGCAACTCTCTTTTCTTGTATGTTTGTGTGTGTGTATGTGTGTGTGGTTTTGTTTTGTTTTCCTCTCATGAATATTCCATTTGTCGAAAAGTGGCATCAGACCTCATCGTCTAACTTCATAAGAGGGAAGAGAGAGAATCAAGATCAGCAGCCCAACATGTATGAAGTCTATATGCAGCCGAGTCTAAACAATGATTAATGGGGTTGTTTTAGTACAAGTTAATGGGTTTCAACTGATGTTACCATGAAGTCAGGTGTTTGATGGGTTTTTTCCTGGCCCAGGTCACTTTCCAGTAAGGTTGTCTGGTTCTTCCCCAGAGTCCTTTTTGGGCAGAATCAATCTTATATTGTTCAGGGCTCTCTCAACTAATTCCTTTCTGCCTGGTTCTTAGAATCTCATGTGCCTCTCTCTTTCACTATTGTTCCTGAGCCTGCATGGGAGGGGGTTAATGTCAGTAGGGCTTCGTGTCCCATTTTTGTAAAACACTGTAAGCAAAACCCACACCAATAATATAGAAAAGTGCAACAAAATATCCCTGCAATTATTATACAAAATAATCTGAACGGTAATTTTTTTTCACCAGGTTCCCCATCTAGAGAACCACCCCTTGATCTTAGCCCAAGTATCATCTCCCAGGTGCTCAGTTCTCTGTAGTTTTGTTTGTAAATGTATAGTGGAGTGATTTACTGGAGATTCATTACAAGGGATATATACACAGCACTCAATTTTTAATAGGGCCTCAGTGATCATATACAGGACCACTCAATTTTATAACACCACCTTCTACATGGCTTCAGTTTCTTCATTTGAGTTAGCCAGTCATGTTCATTGCTCTTTAAGGCCGAGGAGAGAAATTTTTGCAAAGTCTCAATCTTAGCCATAATATAAATATTTTCAATCAGCAGGAGGGCAATGGAGAATAAGCCAATTAAGGTTTTAGTGGAAAGAAAAAAGCTTATTAGGTACATAAGTTGGACACGCATCCTTTTTTATTAAAATGTAACTAGTGTTATTTCCTCCTGTTGTACTACTTCTGTAACTTGTGGGTCTTTTTCCTGAATGGGTGTAATATACCTTGTGCCCAAGGAGGTCCCGTTTGGCAGTGTTAATTACCTAAGGGGAAGGCAAGATCTGTATTATTGTTGTGGCCAGTGTCCCCCATGCTATAGGTTGATGGATGTCCCATTGTCACCTGCTTTCTTCCAGTGTCGTCCCATTGAGAAACAAAGAGCTGAAGGTCAGGATGGGGGAAACCTCTTGCCTTATCAGCAGTAGGAGTCCTACTTATTCCCTCAGGGCCTGCCATTGTATGCCACAACTGACTGTCCTCTGTCCAGGGGTGTTGCTTACTGGTGTCCGGAGTGACAGTACATGTCGATAGAGTCCAACTGGGGCATGAAGACTGCCAGCGCTGTCTTAGATATCCTTATACTTGACCTGTGGGTGGCTCACTACCTAACCACTAAAATGAGGATCTCTCTCCCACAGTGGGAGCTTCATTTAATGCTCTTATAGCCTGGGGAAAAACAACTGTCCAGTGATGCAGGTCTGGCAAACCAGTCAGTGTTTTTATTTGTTCTCTAAGGAGGTCAGTTTTCCTTTCAATAAATTCTGCCCCCTTATAAGGTAGTGGAAGTGCCAGTCTAGACCCTGTTTCTCAGTTCATTACTGCACAACGGCCCCTGTAAAGGGAGAACCCTGATCACTGTTAATTTCTTTAGAGTACCATACATGGATATTAGTTTTCCAAACCGGAAATGGTGGCAGTCTGATTGGTTCTTACAGTAGGAAAAGCTTGTATTAATGCACTGTAGGTATCCACACACATGAGAGCAAACTGATATCCCTTACTTTTAGGTAGAGGGCCTATATAATCAATTTGCTAAATTTGTAAGGGACCCCTTTAATGGCCCCCTCTTAATGTGTCATGTCTTTTACTTATGTGGAGCACAACACTTGGAGCAACAAACCAGATATGATGCTCCACTGTCTTAGTTATCTAGTGCTGCTATAATAGAAATACCATAAGTGGATGTCTTTAACAAACAGAAATTTATTCTCTCACATTCTAGGAGGCTAGAAATTCAAATTCAGAGGGCTAGCTCTAGGGGAAGGCTTTCTCACTGTGTCAATTCTGAAGGAAGGTCCTTGTCATCAATCTTCCCTTGGTCTAGGAGCTGTTCCACAGAGGAACCTCAGATCCAAAAGACACGCTTTGCTCCTGGCACTGCTTTCTTGGTGGTCTGAGGTCCCCATGTCTCTCTGCTCTCTTCTCTCTTTTATATCTCAAGATGGGTTGGTTTAAGACACAACCTAATCTTGTAGATTGAGTCCTGCCTCATTAATATAACTGCCTCTAATCCTGCCTCATTAACATCATAGAGGTAGGATTTACAATACACAGGGTAATCACATCAGATGACAACATGGTGGCCAATCACACAATACCAGGAATCATGGCCTAGCCAAGTTGACACATATTTTGAGGGGACACAATCCAATCCATGACACCCACTTTTCTTATGTATCCACAATCTATGTATCCATAATATATATCTAGATTATCAGTGGGGACAATGGCCCTTACATTGCAGCTAGGGTATCTGCTTCTACATTGCCCATTGGGGAATTCATGGTGTGTGCTGGGAAATGATCAACAGTTGCTTGAGATCCAGGTCATGTGGTTTGTCCCAGCTATCTCACCATAGTTCGTGTACTCACAGGGGTCTTCCATTAATTTCTCAAACATCCTTTTCCCATTGGGGTATCCCCAGAGGGAACCCTTTTATTACTGCCCAAGTGTCAATAAAAATAGTTAAGGCATGGGGCTCTTGGGTGATTACTAGAAAGGCTGCCCTTAATTTTGCCCATTGACTATTGCACCCAGTACCCATTTCTATTCAGATAGTGTCAGTAGCAGGCCAGATAGCAACAGCTCACCATTCAGGGGGTGGGCCTGCACTAAACCATCTGTGTAGCAGGTATCCTCTGGGGGTGTGCCTGCCCCCTCCTTGACATATCTATTTAATTGTTGCCTCTCACCTGTGCAGTCTTTTTTTATTTATTCAGGTATCATTTGATTTCTTTATACTTTTTCAAAATTGTGGTAAGCTTATATATATAACAAACATTTACCATTTCAGCATATTTTACATGTACAATTCAGTTAACATTAATTACGTTAATCATGTTGTTCAACCATTGCCACTGTTTCCAATTTTTTTTATCATCCTTAACAGAAGCTCAGTTTCCCCCAAGTAATGACTCTCTCTTTTCCCTTCCCTCATATGCCTAGTAACCATTAATAACCTCTAGTCTCTTTTATATTTGCCTATTCTAGTTATTTCACATAAGTGGGATCAAACAATGTTTGTAACAGACTTACTTTACTAATCATATTTTTTTAAAAATTCAATGCACACATCTTATGTTTTTCTTTATTGCCCTGCATTTTATTTTTCCAGTGTTTATATTTTTAACACTGGCATTCCCCGGGTTATGAACATCTGACTTACAGACAACTCATACTCAAGAAAAGACTTCCATAAATCCTAATATATTAAAAATTTGAGTTAAATACAATGAATGATTCATAATAACGAATGCACACACTACTTTGTGATACTCGTGAAAACATAGTGCTGTTTGGCAGCGTTTCTTAAGTGTTTTATATGCATAGAAAGGTTAAATATATACAATATACTAAGGCAAACATTTGACTAACTGATGCTAAATAAGAACCATACGTATCTGTTCAGACTTACCTGCAAATTCAACTTAAAGACAGACTTAGGAACGGATCTTGTTCGTAATTTGGGGACTGCCTGTATACTAACCTTTCTTCAGGGGTATGATTATATTTCAAATAGCCACCTTTTCTCTTATGATGTAAGGTACAAAATTCAGAAGGTGACCTCCAATTCGTTCAATAACATTAGCCTAATTTTTCTTCCAATTCACTCCAGGCCACTACTTAGAATATTATAATATAGGGCCATACCCCTCGCCAGGATACCGGTTTCCCAAAGGCCCATCCCAGGTGATATTCTTATTTTATGAAACTGATGTTAAATTTTCATGTCCAGTTAAATTTTTGGAAACTTTTTTGTCTTAGATTAAAAACACACTCTCAAAGACAATTCTAGTAATTCCATATTATTTCATCAGTCTTGGAGGAAGTACAGCCAGAATGTCCCTTAGAAGCAAGGATGTGCAGACTTGGTCTCGCTTACATTGGATGCATCATCAGGAGGTACCAATCACTAGAGAAGGACATCATGCTTGGTAAAGTAGTGGGTCAGTGAAAAAGAGGGAGACCCTCAATGGATTTGTTGACATAGTGGCTACAACAACAGACTCAAACACACTAACATTTGCAAGGATGGTGCAATACCAGACACCATTTCATTCTGATACATATAAGGTTGTCATGAATTGAAGCTGACTTGACAGCAACTAAAGAACAACCACATTATTTCAGGACTAACTGTTTTACTATTGAGCAGACTCTTAATGCCTCTATTGTAACCATCAATAAAATACAACTCTATGAATAGTTGGAGCCTTGGTGGTGTACTGGCTAAGAATCTGGCTTCTAACCAAAAAGTTGGCAGTTCAAATCCACCAGCCGCTCCTTGGAAACCCTACGGGGCAGTCCTACTCTGTCCTATAGGATCCCTATGAGTCCAAATCGACTCGACGGCACCTAACAACAACAACTATAAGTACTTATGGAACAATAGCGTCGGATTTCATTTACTTTTGCAACTATTATTTACTATTTATCACTGGGGTAGAATCTCAGTCTGTCTAGTTCACCACTCTCTCTGTAGTGAGACTGGCCCATAATTCTTCTTAAGATTCTGTGAGGGATGAGTTCATCAATGACTGAATATGGTGCAAAATATGTGGATTATATTTTTCTTATGAGACATGGAAATTGTGGATTCCTTCCACAGCAGACATAGCAAAGTCTCCATACACAGGGGTCACTGCTCAAGAGAATAAAGGGGCTGACTGTTGGGAAACACGCAGTGATTGATGCAGACATGTTCACCAGCCACCAACTGGGATTATGAAAAACAGCTAAATAAGCATAAATAATGGAGGAGAGGCCATAAAATGATACAAAGGTGCTCACCAGGACAAGGATGCTTTGGGTGGCTTTGGTCTCAGCAGAGAATCCAGGGGAGATGTTGTTCATACTAATGTGTTGGACCCACTTCTTGTGTCTGTACAGGATGAAAACTATGGAACCACTGGCCCAGGACATGAATCCCAAACATAAAACATCATGGGAGGATATCATTGCTGCATAGAGTGAGAATGTGACTTTGTCATGTTTTTTAGTAGAACAGTATTCCAACACATTTTCCTTTATGATGGTATTGTTGCTCCATTTGCCAGACCCATAAATGGGAAAAATGGCATTGACCAGCATGTGCAGTATCCAGCAAAGGATATTGGAGGGACCAATGTATTTTAGGGCTTTTAGTTTAAGCTCTGCCCACGTGGAGTGCATGTGGCTTATGGTGATGGTCTGGAAGACACTCAAGAGGCAGGTGGTGCAGATGCACATGCCCCTGGCCCAACCTTGGAAGATATAAAACAAGTTTGCATCCAAAATCATTGAGGAAATATTTTAACCCAAAAGCAAGCATTGTCTGGGGGACTCCTATAGAGAGAATGGTCAAGGAGTTGGCTACAGTCAGGTGCCTGAGAATCAAATCTGTGGACCGTGACCTGCATCCATAGAAGTAAAAGAAGATGTAATGAATTATATGTGAGAAATTCCCCAGGATTCCAATGACCATCTGGAATAGGAGGATCATTGCTATTTTCATGGAGGTTGTTCTGTCATTATCCAGGGCTTGAGATTCAAATTCACAAACAGGGGGCTCTTCATGGAAACATGAGTTGTGGCCTACATTGTTCATGGAAAAGAAAATACAAAAATTTCCACTTACCATTATTTCACTCTGAGAATTAATTTCTACATATATTTTCTGTTGCTAAGAGATTCCCAATATTTTCTTTCTTTTTGTAGCACAGTTTTGTGACTGTTTTGAGTGCTTTATCTGTTCTAAGCTATTTAATATTCATGACTCTATGAGTTAGGAGCTAATATATTCTCCTCTCTCAGACAAAGAGGATTGAACCACAGGGAGGTTAAAGGACTCATAGAAATAGATGTAGAGTGAGGATTTGAACCTGGTTGCAGTGACTTGGGGTGTACTACTGTGCTATTCTGTCATAGCTCTCTCGTTGGGTACTTCAAATAATCCAAATACCTATCATATTTTAAATACATTTTATGAGTTTATTTGTGATAATTTCCCATTTTGTCTAAGTATTCTATAGACCAATAGCACTTATAAATCAATTTAGAGGCCTTAGTAAAATGTAGATGACCTGATTAATTTTCTGTGACTGACTGGATTTATTCAATAAATATTAACATGATAACAGAATCATTCGTTTGTTTGGTTTTTTTTTGCTGAAAGTTAAAGTACAATGATATCCATCACAGAAATTATTGTACAAAACTATGCTGTGGTCCAAATTATAGGACATGGTATATAAATGTGTGATAAAGTATTTTGAGGTAAAAACTAAATTAATCCTCATCACAGATCATGTTACCATATATTTGTTGTTTTTGAAAAATGAAGAGAAACTATAGTCAATATTTATTTTGGAAAATATATTAAAAAATAAGACAAGCATGCAAAACTACAGAAAAAATTCTATTTCACCAATTGCCACCCAGTTACACAGTTTATGCTGAAAATTAGGTAATTCAGTTAGCTCTATCATACCCATTACTACATGTACAGAGCATTTACAGAACAACTATAGTACTCCTGAAAATTTCTTTGTGATTTTCACACATCATATTGAATGGCAGACAAATTTAAAAAGTATAACCTTGAAGCTCCATAAAATTGAGATTTTGATACCACTTGGATCAAACACTAAGACCCACCTTCCTTGAGGATTTCATGAAATTACCTTAGGAGCAGCCAGGGCTTAGTATCACATCTCAGATCTCCAGTCTCCCTCCTAAAGCTCAGCTCATACCTCAGGAATTGTCATCCTTCCAGTGCAACACTGGCACTGGACGAGTTTCTTACCCAGAGAAATCCATTTTCCAGAAATTATCACTCACCTAGCTCCTGATCCGCCTGTCTCCCTTCTAGAACTTGTCTTTTGGGCTGAAATAGAAAATACTCACCTGACTCCAACCTACTGCCAGGACGATGCTCTTAGTGACAGTCACAACAGCCAAAACAGGTGTAAAGGAGAGGTAGCAGACCGTGAGATATGGATTAGAGATTCTGTGACCTCACCTCCCCACAGAATTGCCATTATCACCTCACCTGTAGCAGCCATGACGATCCACTGCTGGGGAGCTGAGAAAAGTTTTGAAAACGTTTGTCCACTTTTTAATTCCCAGGAAGTCTAGTGTCTGGTGAGCATCACCAAAGAGACCATTGGAGCATCTTGGAGACTTGGTGAATAATAAACATCGTCTGACTTATATGTACACACACCCACAAACATACACACACACACACACACACATATATATATACAAATGTATGTGCATGTGTATGTGTACCACCATTCTCTTGTAATATGACTGTTTCATATGTGCTTGGATTCTGTGTGATGAATAAACAAACAACTTAACTTTGTGCAAAATCACACAATTTACATATTTCTGGTAAGTTTAGGGAGTTTTATGTTACTTATCCAGACAAAGAAAAGCCTGGAGACACTGGAGACACTGCTTATAAAAACAAAGGGCTGACAGGAAACGTGTTGAATAGTGCAGAGATGTTTAACAGCCACCCGGTAATATTAAAAACAGCCAAACATAGCTGGGGAGTGGACAGCCCCATAAAACTAAATGGGACTAATGAGGCACAGCAGTCCAGGGACAAGGGCCAGAAGGCAGAAGGGGACAGGAAAGCTGGTGATAGGGAACCCAAGG